CACAAGGATGAACATTAGGAACAAGGACGAACCTCAACCGAATAAAACATAGCAAGGATGAAGATCAAAAAACGAGGATGATTCCCAATAAGGCGACAAAGCTAAAGGATGATCCAAAAATTACTAAAATATGAATCAAAAACACCCAGAAAGCCAAGCCACCAACAAAACTTTAGTAGGTTTAGGTCGGGTTGTATGAGGGGTAGATGCTCGGCTGCCCCATTTTCTTTTCCTTTTGTTGTGTGGTGGCCCTTAGTCGCCTTTTTTTTATTGTTTTTTATTTGACTTGTTTTCCTTGTTTTTCTACATGTTTTTATGCGCGTTAGAGATAACTACTTTTCTTAGGTTTCTTTCTGTGTTTAAGTGCCTAGTTAGGCTTGGAATAAGTTAAGCTCTTAGGATGAAAGATTATTCTTCTTAACTCTAACTTTAACTTAATTTTCAAAAATCACAACTCATAACCAAAATTTAAACATTACAACTCATAACTTAATAAAAATATTTGCATATTCACACCCAGTAGACGTTACATTATCATGCATTTAATATTAATCAATTAGAAAACTTAACTATTAAGGTTAATCATCTGTGTCTGATAACATCATATTGTTTTTTCTTTGTCTTTTCGGGCCGTCACTCATTTCACAAAAGTGGGATCTGACCTGTGAGGGTCACCCCGCCCTTAAGGAGTGAATCTGTCTTTCATACAAATGCCCTAACAACTTTTCTAACATGCATCATATAAGGACTTGCATAACCCTATCACAGTTTACACTTCACAAAAAAATTATAACTTATATGCCGCATAGAGTCCACTTATAACAAAAAAATTATAATTAAATGAACTTTCCCCGATCGATCGCAGTTCGATTGATCATATCATCGCTTTTAATTGGCTCTGCCGAACCGACATTATCTTTTCATAAATAATAAAATTTAAAATTTTAAAATGACAATTTTTGAGTGAGGAGCATACATTACTCGGGCTATTCGATCTCCGTGATCAGCTCGTAAGTTCCAACACATTTGTTATAATAACAACCTACCACTCTTAACGTGCATGTGACTAGACTCTTGATTTTTTAACATGCATCATATAAGGACTTGCATAACCCTTTCACAGCTTACACTTCACAGTCAGAGTCTCATTTATAATAAAAAAATTATAATTAAATGAGCTTTCCTTGATCGATTGCAGTTCGATTGATCGTATCATTCTGTTGGCTCTGCGGACCCGACATTATCTTTGCATAAATAATAAAATTTAAAGTTTTAAAATGATAATTTTTTAGTGAGGAGCATACATTACTCAGGCTATTCGATCTTTGGGATCGGCTCGTAAGTTCCAACACATCTATTCTAATAACAACAACCTACCACTCTTAACGTGCATGTGACTAGAATCTTGATTTTAAAACATAGGGGGTGTTACCTGGCAGCCTATTCCATGAGGGTTGTAAGTCCAGGAGGGTCGGGTTAGGTTTTCTTCCTCGGTAGGAATGCAACCTGTAAGTTCCATCCTTTTTAGTTAGGTTCGAGCTTCTACCTTATTGGTAAAACTCACCTTAGCATTGGTTCGTCGGCCTTGCCATGAAATTGACTTCTCTTAGGCTTTTTGATGGCTCGTTCCATCCAACGTGGGGCCTAATTTTCTGAAGTTTATTCAACTCAAACAATAATTATTGCTTCACTTTAAAAACTATAAAGTTCAACCATAATATAAATTTGGAGTGACCACTGGGTCTCCCAATATCCGGTGCTCCCTACTTTTCTTTCGTTGGCTTTCGATAATAAGTGTTCATAATTTGAGCTATCCCACTTGAATTTCCATATAGCAATCTTGATATCCACCATTGTATTTCGCAGAAATTAATAACCACTATTTTAATCTAGAGTTTTCTTAGGAATTATTATTTCCTAAGATGTGATTAACTAGGGAGGTTTGCTTCTTTAGGAATATCAAACCCAATCATGAAAATAGACCCTATACTAAGGATAGGGAAAAACTGACTTTTGCAGCCCCACAGAGCAGTGAAATAATCACTTCGGGATTGGATCTATCATAGGGTAGGATTTTTGTCCCTCGGAGCAATATACTATTCATTGATGTCGTATTCGATCACAAGTGAGAAACTTCATAACTTCTGTGTGTGGTCTTATCACCCACACCCTCTCAAGTGCGGACAAACATGAAGTCCTAGAAAGTGCGAGATGGGACAGAGTTACTTGATATTGAATTGGGCTCTTAACATAGGGAGTAGGGATGTAATGAAAGCTGGGGAGTAAACTGTAATGGCTATGTCGTCTATATAGATAAGAAGGATAATTTTGGTATTGCCTTTTGTGTGAATGAGATGGGAATGATCTGCTATGCTAAGTGTGAAATTTTCACTAAAGAGATATTGCCAAAATGTGGAATACCATTGGCGAGGGATATGTTTCAATCCGTAAATTGCTTTATGAAGTTTGCAGACAAAATCTGGAGCTTGGGAGTCTTTGAAGCCTGGTGGTTGTGCCATGTAAACAGTGTCTTCCAGCTTGTCGTGGAAAAATGCATTTAAAACATCTAACTGTTGAATCTTTTACTTGTTCGCAGCAGCGATAGATAGCAACATGCGGATGGTTGAAACTTTGGCCACTGGCTGAATGTTTGGTGGTAGTCAAAGCTATATTGCTGAGCACATCCTTGAGCTTGCCTTATACCGGGCTATTGAGCCATCTGAGTGATACTTTGTTTTGTATGTCTATTTGCTGCTATGAATGGTTTGATCTTTGGGGGCAGGAACGAGATTCCAGTTGTGCCCTGTTGTTGAAGAACCGAGAATTCAAGGGACATTGCTTGCCGCGAATGGAAAAATTTGCTTGCTTGAGAATATGAGTTGGGTTCTGGAGAGGAGATGGTGTGATTGAGGGATTTGTAAGTTGGCATGAGGGATTTGTCTGGATTTTAGTGAGCCTGTAAGTTGGCATGTTATCATATGATTTAGGCTGTTGTAGGGAGTTACAATGCGATTAGTGTTGGTGGGTGGGATGGGTGGAGTGGGGGGAGATCTTGTTGGAGGTGGTGTGTTGTGGTGTGGTTGTTGTGGGGGGTTACAATGTGATTGGTGTTGGTGGGTGAGGGGATTGGTTAAAGTAGATGTGGGTATGAGTAGACAGGGTGGGAGACTGGTTGTGGTGTGTGGTTGAGTTGGAATGGGATTGGTCGATTGGTAAGGGAATGTGGTTTCAATGAAAGTGACTTGTCTTGATATGATGAGCTTGTGTGTGTATGGTTCCAACACTTATAGCCTTTGTGCTCTGTGCTGTAACCAAGGAATATGCATAAAGGAGCTTTGGGTTGAAGTTTGTTTTCCTTTTGGGGTTGTTGCCAAAGAAAACAGATGCAGTTGAATGTTCTGAGATGATTGTATTGAGGTTTTTGTTCCTGGAATAGTTCGTAGGGGGATTGTTTTTTTTTTTGGTTGTGGCTATATGGAAGTATATTTATGAGGTAGATAGCAGTGAAGATGGCTTCCATCCAGAATTGTTGAGGTATGTTGGCAGTGTTAAGCAGTGTGCGTGTTTTTTCAATAAAATGCGTATTTTTGTGTTCTGCCATGCCGTTCTGCTCTGGAGTGTATGGGCAGGACATTTGATGTTTGATTCCATTGTGTTTTAGGTATGTTTCGAGGCGATGTGATGTGCATGCACCACCACCATCAGTTATGAGGAATTTGATGTTGGTATTAAAGTGATTGAGAAGAAATTATGCAAGTGAATGAAGTGTTGGCTTGTTTCTGATGTATGATACATGGGAAACAATCAGCAATAACGTGAATGAGCATCTATAAAGGAAACATAGTATCTCTATCGATTAATAGAGGGTATTCGGAAAGGACCTCATACATCATATTGTAGTAAATCTAATACATTGTATTTTGTATTGCTTTTGATAAAAAATGAGTTTATGACTATTGTTTTGGTGGCGGGCTGAGCAATCAGCCTTGGAGATGAGAATTTTGAGATGTGTGTTGCCTCTGGAGATTTGGGAGACCAGCTGATGGTGAGGATGTGACAGTCGCTAATGCCACGAGAAGGCGAGGAATGAAATGCGGAGTTGGTATAAAGGCCTTGCTTAGAGGGTCCTTTGAGAAGAATCTTCTGCGTCAAATGAAATGAGACAATTTTTTTTTTGTGCTAGTTTTTGAATTGAGACAAGGTTATGAGAGAGTTGTGGAACTCAGTATAGTGATGATAGTTTGAGCTTATTGTGGGGAGTTGGTAGAATGCCTGAACCAGTGTGGGAATGTTGGTGGCTTGTCCATTTCCAACCATGAATTGTTCTTGGCCTTGCTAAGGATTGGAAGTGTGGAGGTTTTCCAGAGGACGGTTGAGGTGAGTCATGGCTCCGGTGTTGAGTACCCGGTCTTGAGAGGAGGAAGAGTTGGTGGTGGTAAGTGTTGTGATTTGAGGTGTGGGATTGGGTTTGTATTATAGATCGGCTCTGTGTCAGCACTCTACTGCTGAGTGTCTTATTTTCAAACTTATCTGGCAGGTTATAATTAGCCTCGATTGTTGGTGGTATTTTGGTATTTGTTATTGTTGGTTGTGTTTTTTGTGGGATGCTTGTAGTTTAGGCTGTTGGTTTTTGGATTTATTTGCGTATAGAGCTGTGGTGGGTTGGTGTTTCAAGTTTTCTGTGGCTAGATTTGATTCTTCAGTTTGGAGAAGGGAGTAGAAATCTTCAAGTTTGCTTGAGTTTAATTGTGTGCGTATTGTGGTTTTGATGCCTTGATATTGAGTTGGTATGTCATTTAAGGTTTTTAACATGATATCCTCTATGTTGATCATGAACCCTGCATTGGCAATGTTATCAACAATCATTTAATTCGACATATATTGTTGTGAGATTTCCCATATTGATATTGTGTAGCTCATTTTTCAGTTGTATTGCTCTTGATATCTCATCGATTGGAATCGTCTTTCTAGTGTTGACCAAATGGCTGTGTGCTTTGAAGGTTGATGACATATGGTAGAATTGGAGTGGAGATTGGTTGAAAGTATTACAGCTTGGAGATTTTGATCTATCAGGTTCCAGAGATGGAAATATGAGTTTTATGAATGACTTTGGAAGGAATCGTGGTGTGCTCAAATAGGAATTCTTTGAATCCATTAGCTGTAAACAGTTCCTCGGGTACAACACCTGCATTTTTCATCCCTGATAATTGTTGTATTGCGGTGGGGAGTTGGATATGGTCTTGATATTGGATGTATGCTCATGTCCTTCATCCTTTTTAGTGACATCGTTGGATGCAGGGTGGATCCGATCAGAGGTGAGGATGCTAAGGAAAGTGCGTTGAAACTGGCGCTCTGATATCATGTAGAAAAAGGGTATGGCAGATATCCCCTCAGTTCCTCGGGTACAACACTCTACTCTTTTCTCTCCTCTCCAGATTCTCTCTGTCATGCCTTCTTCTTCTCTCCCTCTTTGCTGCTGTGTTAATAGCGGGAGATTGCCCTGCCTTCGCATGTGCGGGGGATGCCTGAGCTGTTGTGGTGAGCTCTACTCCTTTGGTTGTTGGTTGAGCCATGCATGTGTGGACCGTCTTCGGTAACCTTTGTGTACCCTTGAATACTGTCAGCACGGATGACTTTTTGAAGACTTGATGTGAGATGATGTTTGGGAGTTAACTGGATGGTAATGGCATTTTTTATGGTTGAAATAAAAAAATTCAACTGACGTGGATTAGGAGTATTTATCCATTAGCAAAAAAGAATCACCTTCATGGGTTCTTGAAGTAGCAGAATCGTACATGGAGTGACGCTGACGCACAGGATCAAATAGAAGAAGATGGATACAGCCATTTGGCGAGAATCTCTGATACCAAGTTAACTAATTCCGCACTAGCAATAGAAGAAGGAAGGAGTGACCCCAATTCAGTTATCTTCAATCCTCCAAGTCTACAGCTTCATATTTTTTTATAAAGCTACGGCTTAGAAGTTAAGCCACTCCTTAAGTGCGAAAACCTGATTAGTACTATTGCAGGCCAACAGCGCCACACATATCTAACACAAATACTAACATATTTACATGCATGGCACTCAAAATTACAGCAAAATACTACTATTACTTGCTTTTTAGGAGTGAACTAAAGCATTTCATGCATAGATTTATGATACCAATATGTTATAAATGTAAATATGTAAGTTTAATACAGAAGAATTGTGTGGTATGTTTGTAAATTTCCCTAATACACACACACACAGATATATATATATATATATATATATATATATATATATACTTGCTGATGCAAACTGGCATTAACTTGCCGCAGATGGTAGCCTGCAATGTCTTCCAGAATTGCTGCAAAACCCATTCGTAGGTCTTTGAACTGTTTCTTATTCTTAGAATTAAATATATATTGAATTTAATTTGTCAGAGAAAACAAATACACGGAGTGATGTATTTATTTATCATTTCACTTTAGTTCTGTTTCAAACAACATAATTAAAAAAAGTCTAGGAGCATAATCCAATGTGTTCCAGCAATTCTACTGACCCATTTTTAAGTCTTTCAGCTTCATATGAATCCATGACGGCTTGACTAGCTGACATGGTGCTAAGGACAATGCGATATTCTTTCATGTGATTTAAGTTTTTATTTTTATGACAGTTAAATTATCTCACAACAAATTCTCTTATATTTCAATATTCTGGTTATTTTACTTGATTAATTAGGAACTTCGCCTGAGTTGAGGCAAATGGTTCATCAAATGAAGAATTTTCAGCCTGACCTTCTTTAATTACACCCAACTAGCTTTGGGAGACGTTTTTCCATCATTTATGACGTGTTATTCATCATATTTTAGGCTCTTTTTTTCTGTTGCTCAAATATCACATCAAATTTATGTTACTTGGTTAGAAGGAATAATCCTGAGAAGGGAGAAAAGCATTCAATTATTGAAAAGTTAGCCGCCCACTTACTTGGACTTAGACTGATATTTATGACCTACTTGAATTCATGTTATGCTAGCTTTGCAGCTCTGGATTTCATTATAATTGGCTTTAAAAAAAAAAAACTTGCCTCCTTTGAGCTCTACTTGCAAATCAAAATTTTAGTGTTATGGAGAAAGTTATATATCAAGTTATATGAGTATGTGGGCTCTGAAAATTTAGACAGCTCCCCAGGAACTCTCTGCATGATTATTTTTTTTATTTTGTGAGAGTTTAGGATGGTCAAATTTTTAGAAGGCAGATTGCATTGTAGATAAGACATTTCCTAGAGATTTTGCCCTCATTTAGCGAGGACTTTTTGATCTGGGGTTCAAGGTTTGTCATAGGTGTAAGCCCCTATGGTTAATTGCCTTTTTATGATAATAGAGAGCACCTTTAATTAAGGCTAGTCATTAGGAATTGAACATTCAACATACAATCACAGCAGACTTAAGATTTAAGTTGTAAAATTTATCACTTAAAGCTTAAAGCGGATGATGGTAAAATGAAGACGAAACTCAATCAAGATCTTATAGTTCCATCATCCCGGGTCTTCGTGGTCCCTGATCTACTTAGTCAGAGGATGTAGTCGACCCAACCTGACTTAAGAATCCTTGTTAGCAACAATGAGTTTCGTCATTTAAGGCATCCTTATAGATCTGGGGTGGATATTTGTCTAAGGAGACAAATTTAAGTCGATCTTAGCTAACATAAGGTTTTATGTCAATCAATTGTATTTTTATGATTCACAACTTAAATGGTAAAAAGCCATTGGGGAATAACGAGCTATGTCTGTGACCGCAATATAATGATGTCATTTGGTGGAAACCACCCGGTCAGAGTGTCCTAATCGTAACAGTTATTTTTTGGTGTCATTTGGCTGTAGAATCATGCGAACAGAGGACTCAGGCCACGTCCTTATTGCATTGTGATTGTTTTGATTGTGAATATAAAAATACACTTAATCTGACATTGGTTCTTTGTGAGCTGAAGTCTGTCAGAAATTTGTCACCCTCGACAAACTGCTGTGAATGGTTAATGTGGTTTTCTTTAAGGCTTAAGTGATTTAATTTTAACTTGAGTATTAATTGATTACTTTAAAAATCTTGATTTAAAAGATTGACCTTTACGGTTGATATCTTCGATCAGAACGGCTATCATTTAGGCATTGTTTATCTTAATTCTATCTCACTTTTAGAGGATTGGGTTCATGATTTATATTATTATTTGAGTTTTCAAGATGAATTTTAAGATTTCATTTTTTTGTTTTTTTTTTTTTCAATAGTCCCCTCCGGCTGAGATGTACAATGTGTATGCCCATAATCGGGGAATTAATCTTTTTGAACTTTGTTGACTCCGTCCCACTCACAAAGGATTAGGTTAATGGTTTATATTAATTGAATTTTAAAGATGGGCTTTGAGATTTGATTTTTTAAAAGTAGACCCCTCCATTTGAGATTTACTTTCAACACAACCATTATCGGGGATTGATATCTTTGAACCCTATCGACTCTAACCCACTCACAGAGGATCAAATTCATGATTTATATTATTATTTGAGTTTGAGATTTATTTATTTTTAAATAGACCCTCTGGTTGAAATTTACTATCAAGACAATTATCTTCAGGAAATGATATTTTTGAATCATGTCGACTCTGTCTCCCTCATAGAGGATCAGGTTCATGATTTATATAACTGAGTTTTTAAAAAATGATTTTGAGATTTGTTTTTTTTTCTTAAAACAAACCCCTCTGGTTTAAATTTTCCATCAACACGACCACCATCGGGTATTGATATCTTTGAATCTTGTTGACTTCGTCCCTCAAAAAGAGGATCATATTCATGATTTATATTATTATTTGAGTTTTAAAAATGAACTCTGAGATTTAATTTCTTTTTTTGGAGATAAATCCTTTCGGTTGAGATTTACTATCAATAGGGTCATCACTGGGGAATGATATCTTAACATCAGTTGAAATTCCATTCTTGTCGACTCCAACCTCTTAAGGAGGATTAGATTAGCTCAGCATGAGCTTGATCTTATCGACTTCATTCTCTCTAGGGAGGAGAATTATATTGGTCAAAGTGTGGGCCTTGCTACCCTTCCCTATACTCAAGACGGCCCGCTTGAGAGCGTGCCTAATTACATAGATTTGAATTTGACTGTTAAAAATTAGATTTTTGCAAAGCTTTGATAAACATGCACAGTTTTCAAGATAAATTTACTTTTGGCTTGAACATTTGTTTAACTGGCGCGGACCTCGTGATTGAGCCTCCAACTTGTTAGTCGGAGCAAATGTGAGTATTTAATTTGTTAATTTTGACTGCCTTTTAGGTGGTTTTATTATTATTTACACGGACATATTATCATTGGGATTTGTGCTGATATTCTTATTTAAACTTTTAGATTTGCCTTTTGTTCGCTTGTGTATTTGGAGTTATAGATCCGGTGGCTATGAAGATGTTTTAGACTTCGATTGTATATTTAAAATTATGAATCTCTTTCATATTTAGCTTCCATTTGAGTGTTCAGCTGGACTCCCATGTACTTCTAATTCTAATAACTTTGATTAGTCGATTGAAGGCCTCATTTTCATTTTATAGGTGAGTTTGTAAGTTTACCACAGGTTTCATTCGAGCTCATTGACGAGTCGTCGAGTCTCCAATGAATCGAGCAAAATTCATTTATATTTAATTTTGTCTTTTAAGCTGATTTATGTAATCATGACAACATTTAATATGCAGTTTATGAGCTTTAAATTGTTTGTATTTTTGTGTTGGAATAAATTCAATTTAATTATTCTGTTATGGTCAGCATGCAGACAACAATTCGACAGCATTTTAATAGCCTCCCGATGTCATTCCCTATTAGGGAGCTGCATTAAAAGCTGAAACCTTCCTACCATGCTTAAAAAAGCATGCATAGTTGGTGTTTTTTGACACTACTGCCTGGGAGTTCAAAACCCATCACGTTTAAAAAAATGTGCATGAGATTGTGTGTCTGCACAAAAATAATAACGCACACACACACAAAGCCATTTCTGATGCGTCAATACGATGCATACAGGGCCTTTGACCCACCACACTTTCATATGCACTTGATGGCCGTTTAGGTGCCATGCAGGTCCTCCTTGCCACTGTTCGTAATACATGGTGCCATTCCCCCATGATCCTCTCCATCATAATATCCTCATGAGAGACCAACTAAATTGTGCACCAAACTCATTAGCCCAAAATTATGATTAAGATGCCATCTATTAACCGGATTGTACCCTCTAGCCATCCTGTATTCAATCCATGCTATCAGCACCCCCACCCAAAGAGCTGCATGTTGCCGGTCTTATACAAAGCTCTCGTATAAGGAAAACCATCCTCCTTGTTTTTGATCAATCAAAGGAGGAGGTTCGACCTTCCTTTTGCTAAGCTTCACATTTAAATAAGTTGGTGCACTTGTAGAATAATTGAAAGTTGTAGCCTTTGGCTCAAGAGCTGGGCACGACCTCCCTGAACTAAAAACCTCAAGTCCATCTCTCACATAACTCATAAAAGAAGAGTAAATAGCCATTGACGGCATAGCCGTGTAGCTGGCTTTTCGTGTGTAATGGCCGAAAACCAGAGAGAAGAGCAAAGGAGGCATGTGTAGCTGGGGCTTTTCGTGAATGGAAAAGACCTGCTTCTGCAGAGTGGAGTTGGAAAAGGGCTGTCAGCCGAGCTTTCTAGTTTGCTGCCGGAGAGGATGCCGGCTGGAAGGAGTAGAAGGCGGCCGGCGTCGCGAGAGCTCAAGAGGGGAAGAATGATGGGAGATGTGTGATGGGAGAGCTGCTGGCTAGAAGCTTCTTTGGGTTGGTGGTCGGGAGGCTTGGGCAGCGTGAGTAGTAGGTTTTTTTATTTTTTATATTAGCCATTTGCCAAGTTGGCTCAACTAAG